AAAAATAAGAAATAAACCAGTAAAAATCGCCATTTTTCGCTATTTACGCTGGTTTTCACTATAAGGGTAGACTCAATTATTAAGTTAAATGACTGTTAAATGATCAACTTATTGTTGGCTACAAATGAGTGAATTTCGTATTAGATTGCATGAAAATTGAGGGAGATTTTATTTTAAAATATGTGTCGAAATCGATTTGTGTTGATATCGATGTTTCGTTTTTCACTGTTTTTCGCGAAACGCAGTGGTTTAGAAATATAAACGAGGTGCCGTTGTGCTCGCCATAGTGTAAGTAATCTTCATACCGAGTTTGAACGAAACCGGAGGAAAAAAGTTGAATTTATCGATTTTCGATAGGCTTTAACGATTATTGATTTTCTAAAAATTAATATTTTAAGCTAAGAACCTATCTCTTATATTGTACAATGTATATGCCAAGTTTGGTCAAAATCGGTTGGATGGATCTCGAGTGAAAAGTATAAAATTACATACAACATACTTAGATTCCGGCATTAAACAACCCATAGAGGTGTTGATATGCCGCTTAACAAAATTCATCACCATCATCAACAAATGAATATCTGACCAAATCAACAAATATCGTATGTTATTTTAATTTCTTATTGGTCTACAAAAGAAACTTTCAGTGTCATCTGCATTGTTTAAATTGTTTATATAAGATGCAGAGGTATTATGACCAGAATCATAATACTATATATATATATATATATATATATATATATATATATATATATATATATGTTTAAGTTTTTTGTGTATAACAATTGAGAAGTAGTGTGCAAAGAGACGCACAGAAGACATGACCCCATTCACGTTCACACGCAAAAAGCTACCGCGCTGATAAGCTACAAAGATACCGACTTAAACTACGGCCACACAGTTCATAGGAGGAACTAAATTCTAACTTTTTTTATGTGTGTAACAATCCTTCTTTTCAAACTGAAATTACAGATTGAATCTACGCAATGTCAAGGATATAAACAGACATTTCAAAGTTTAAACAAAAAATATTGTGCTTTGGGAACTTTTGTTGTAACAAAAATTTTGGTTGTAAAAATGTAACATTTGTTTAGATCAAATACGGGTATCTTTCCTAAGGTGTTTATAAATTGTACACAGTACAATTATTAACGTTAACAACGAACTATTTTAAATTACAAAATTGTACTTGGATTAAACGAAAATTACTTTCAATACAATATATATTACTTATAATATTGTTGAAACTTGACTAATGCGTGGAATAATAATACAACACAAAATGTACTTAGAACAAAATGTATTGAAACAAGAAAGTGTACACAATATTTACATATAGTCTTTTGTATATTCCTGGTAAGACCGTTCCTGGAGAATGTGTTGACTTAGTCGCAGTCGGGCAGAGTCTCTGATTGAATCTCTTGATTCCTCCTCCCGTCTTCCCGGTACCAACCATATTTATATGGTCGGTACTCCACTATGCAAATTAGGTGGATCCTACCACAACAAATATATTCTTTCTTACCGTCAGTTTTGTCGACATAGTTACACTAGTATTACTAATAAATCATAAATAGAAAAATTCAGCTGATTTTAATCGCGATAAACGGATGTTTTCCCAGGGCGGGCCCGTGCTTTGAGCGCCTATTGGGACTTAAACTAAGCCCAGACCCCAAATGTAGCTCGTATATGTGTTCCGTCGCTAAAGGTGTTGGAAAAATGCCCAGTTCCCTGTCCATGCCTTTATTAGAGTCATATCAGGATGAAAATGGACTACCGCGGCCGTATATGCGTCGGAGCTGCCCGGGTTTCACTTGCCAATCTGTCGTGCAAAAGCGTCTCTGCGTGCTTGTGGGTGATGAGTTGTTTTCTGCACGATAATCTTTTTCTTACAGACGAAATGTCGCAAGACTCTCGCTTCTCTGTCGCTATTTCCATGGAATTGTGTTCAGATGAAGTAAATTCCTTAGTTACTCCAGTAATAACCATGACTGCTAAAACGCGCCATGCCAGCCATATCGTCGTGAACCACCCTCATTCCCTTTATATACCTTTCGTGAGATGTAAGTTCCCCTCGAGCAGATTCTTCCCACGAACCACTATCTTGTGGAACCGACTCCCAAGAGGATGCTTTCCGGATCACTACAATCTTAAACGGATCATGTCTAGGGTTACTAGTTTTCTTCCACACATATTCACATAAACTCTTACTCTCTGATACAAGGTGAATATCATTGTAAAAATAAAATTCTTATTAGACAATCATCTTTTTGTATGCAAAGGGGACGCCGGGCCCCACATATCATAGCGAAAGTAGAAGTGATGGTAACGTATAAAACCATTGTTCTATGGTAGGGGTGTGAAACTATGAGATTCGCAGCGACCCATTTCCTGGCCATGATTTATCTCAAATTTTAACGAATTTGTCTTATGCCCCTTTTATAGTTTTGCTGTATTAAATTTAACCTACTAAGTGTAAACAATTTCAAGATTAGTGTCATGGGTCCTTACCTATAACTACAGAATGGACTCTTCCTAACACTATGTATACAACGCCTCTCAAGAGAGAGGGACGAATCAAGCCGAGCTTCTTGGTTTGACGGTCGAACTCTCTGCCTCTGAGCAGAGAGTAACCCGGACGAGGCTCCGCCGAAGGGCAGAGTCTCGTTCGGGGAGGTTGACCAACCCGATCCCGTTTATACGAGTTCTACGGGCATTTTTTGGCCGAGCCTTCGAGCCCGGGAAGCACACGTTAAACTCGGCCTTGTGCCACATGAAACCCTCGTGGGGGGCTAGATACCGAATCGAGTCGAGATTTCGGCTTGACGGTCGAATTCTCTGCCTCTAAGCAGAGAGGAACCCGGACGAGGCTCCGCCGAAGGGCAGAGTCTCGTTCGGGGAGATTGACCAACCCGATCCCGTTTATACGAGTTCTACGGGCATTTTTTGGCCGAGCCTACTGGCTCGGGAAACCCACGTTAAACTCGGCCTTGTGCCATATGCAACCCTCGTGGGGAGCTAGATACCGAATCGAGTCGAGATTTTCGGCTTGACGGTCGAACTCTCTGCCTCTAAGCGGAGAGGAACCCGGACGAGGCTCCGCCGAAGGGCAGAATCTCGTTCGGGGAGGTTGACCAACCCGATCCCGTTTATACGGGTTTTACGGGCATTTTTTTGGCCGAGCCTACTGGCTCGGGAAACCCACGTTAAACTCGGCCTTGTGCCACATGCAACCCTCGTGAGGGTGGGGGGTCTAGATACCGAATCGAGTCGGACTTCTCGACTTGACGGTCGAACTCTCTGCCTCTAAGCAGAGAGGAACCCGGACGAAGCTCCGCCGAAGGGCAGAGTCTCGTTCGGGGAGGTTGACCAACCCGATCCCGTTTATATGGGTTCTACGGGCATTTTTTGGGCCGAGGATACGGGCTCGGGAAACACACGTTAAACTCGGCCTTGTGCCACATGCAACCCTCGTGGGGGTGGCTAGGTACCGAATCGAGTCGAACCGATAATAGTTCACTCCAAATAAGACTGACAGTCATACTAACACCTTCCACATCTTGTATTATTATTTCGTGTAATATATCTTCGTTATTTCTACTCTTGTGTTCGTGTTGTTATTCCTTGGTCCTAACCTGGACAATAACAGTTAGCAGTATGTGTTCTTGTTTCTTCCCAGGGAGGAGAAGAAAAAGAAATTTCCCAGCACCACGAATTCTTTGTCCGTTACCTGAAAAGACGTTACGAAAATGTCTCTTTTTTTTTCAATTTCATAAGAAATAAATTTGACATGTCATATAAGGGAAAGCTGACTAACATCCCCCGAAATGTTTCTGTCACCACCCCTGATCTGTGCATGTAAGGCAAAGAGATGTCAGTGCTAGAAATACACTTTTGCCAGTGAGTACCCATTAGAGCTGATACCGCCCAATAGATCTAAGACATTCCTACTGCTAGATGTTTCTTATCAATTCGCCCCCAACAAAACAATAATGCTACTAATATTTAAAGGGCTACTAGGAGTGAAACAGAATGAAAAGATTTGTAGAAAGAACTAGAAACCCGATCTTATACAAAGAATAAGAGATAAACGTCTACTACTGTTAAAAATCTGAGGAGTATAAACCGGACAATAGTCGATTCACGCTCCTCCCCAGTCTTTTGAACCGGAATAGAGGGTCTACGCGTAATATCCTTGAGTTTGAGTTTTCTGTTCTGAGTTTGAATATCAACAATATTTTTAATGAAAAATTAGTTCAAACAAGAAACACAAGAAAAATGTTTTTTTCTCCATGAAAGCACTTTTCAAAAATTGTTTAAATTTGTGACTGTCTTCGAAAATTAATTTTTCAAGAAAATTTCTGTAGATTTTGGATTATTTAAAAATGTAAAAGAAATTCTCGTTTCCTTTGTATCTTTTCGAAAATTTAACATGAGATTGTTTTTATTTTGACTTCGTGAATAAAACAATTTTTTTAATTAAATTATTTATTTTTCTTACTTTTAAAACGAAATTGTATTTGTAAATCATTTCTATAATGTCGACATGGATGGTACCGGATATATAGGAAAAATGAACGACAAAATGTCGGAAATGGTTGATAAAGAAAAGGTTTTGAATGAATTCGAATAAATGTGCGGCCTGACGAGACGCAATACCAACCCCCGAAGAATGGATGACGTATATGACGTATATGGTGTGCATGAGGATTTCAAGAAAAAAAATTACTGGATATGTGATAATTCCACTGGTGTTGGCAAATCAGATATCGCCATGAGACATCATGCACATGTTTCTACAGGTGGAACATAAACTTAAACTTACACATAAAAAATTAATAAACAAATGAAAGACAGAGAATTCAGGTTGGAAAGAAAGAAAGAAAGAAAGAAAGAAAGAAAGAAAATAAACATGAAAAATAGTGAGATATATATTTGTGATGAAGATTTGTGAATACAAGAGCGATGGTGGAGACATTGAATTGGCTATTTCTTTAGACAGTCAGACAGACAGACAGATAGATAGATAGATAGATAGATAGATAGATAGATAGATATAAAACGAACTCAGATTGATAGATAGACAGGAACGAACTGGGGTAGATTGACAGACACATTCAATTGGCTATTTATTTATTTGTATAGATAGGTAGATAGATAGATATATAGCTAGATATATAGATAGATAGATAATCCGAGTAGAAATGCATATATATATATATATATATATATATATAGATATATAGAGAGAGAGAGAGAGAGAGAGATAGATAGATTTTTTTCCTTTCATTTCGTTGTTCAATTGTTACCTGATGATCCGGAGTCCTTTAAAAGGATTTTGGTGAAATAAATTATTGTAATGGTACCTTAAAAGTGGTCTGCTTTTTTATATATATATATATATATATATATATATATATATATATATATATATATATATATATATATATATATATATATATCTGTATGATACTTCATTGCATAAAACAGCTTGGGACATGACTCGGCAATGCGAGTGAGTTCAAATCTCGTAAGCCGTTAATTTTCTATCCCGCTATTTATATTAATAGTTCTTGAAAATCTTGGCACTGTGATCGAATCAACAAGAAGAAAAGAAAATATAACTCATTATTAAAAATTGAACGTTGTATGTAAGAAATTACGACCAAATAAAATTAAATCTTCATCACATTTCGTTTCCTCTTCTTTTAATATTATCGATTTCTAGAAATAGCACAATTGAAAGAGTCAGGCACGTAGAACGTGGTAAATTGTCGCATTTCCGACATTTTGAAACGCAGAGGTAAAAATTTCTTTTTTTAATAAAGTGAAAGTGAGGCAAGACAAAACATTTATGCCGATTCTTAACTGTGTGCAAAGAGAAAATAAACGTCTGCCGCAAAGATTTTTCTCCTGTAGATGGCGTGAAATCATTCTTTAAGTTAGACATTCTCTTCAAAAGTGAATAGTATCTCTCTCTTTCTCTCTCTCTCTCCCTCTAATTTCTCCATTTTAGTTCGCATTTGTTTACGAAAAGTACTCTATTATTGATTGGTCTGGTCCTTTGAGGACATATAAGTGATGAGAATGATTTTGCTCCTGGTTATTGTATAAGATTCCGTTAGTCTAACTGCGCGCCAAAAGAGCGAAGCGGATGGAGACCTGTGAGAGCCAGACTCATCACATTAGTGCATAACCTAGCGAGACTAATTTCCTAATCATCACACTGCGCAGGCGCGGGTTGGCTGTGCCTCGAATTGTTTGTTTTCACATTACAACAGAAACTAAACGTCGGATATCATATTTTTTGCTATTATTTTTTCACCTTCATAGGATAGTATAAATCATCTACAAGTAACACAATATAACGATTATTTCTGAATATTGTGATGAACAATCCACTGTTCGTCCTTTAGTCAGTAAATCATTTAAAACGTGCTTTACGCCCTATCATTAGCTCAGATAAATAATAGAAAATGCTGTTCTACTTAACAAGTAACAATGGCAGAAAAAGATATATTAGAGCAGCTGTTTCGTTTTCACGATAGAAAAATCGTATATAGTAAGAAAGAAAAGAAAGAAAAACAGTAAGAACAAGAAAATAAAGGCGGTGATAAAGCCCTTAACGTCTACTTCAATGAAATCGTTAATTGATTGGTTCATTAATTTTCTACGGTTTATCAACCCATTGCAGGTTATTTAAAGCCAAAAAATATTTTTTAGATTCTAAAAGTTTTTAGAGGGTGGGGATATAATGATGGTATTGTTACAAATTCATGACGGTCGTCTTCGAGTATAGAATCCAGAGGTTGGCAGTGAATATTTCGAAGACAGTAGGAAAGCGTAGTTCAGGTTCGCAGTGGATATCGTAGCAGAGCGTAGTTCTTCCTTCTGGCATCTTCGTCTCCCAAGTTGGCACTGGTCATTCCGGTAGGGTAAACAAAGATGGCCGCCTTTATACACGACGGATACAATGTTCTGCGGCTTCTGATTGGTCAACCTTCTATTGGTAGACTATAAAGGGAATTAAGTCATTTTAACTAACTCACTAGTCATATATATATATACACACAAAAAACTTTAACAGATATACTGATACAAGTGTTACTAATTAACCCATAGCTGGGGGGTAAATGATGGATTCATAGTTTTCCCAAACTTATAAGCGCTTACGATAATATAACGGGCATAGGAAATCGGCTCTCCGATTAATAACTCCCAAGTTGGTACTCAGAAGCGGTCACCCATCTAGATACTCTCCAAGCTTGACGTTGCTTAACTTGGGTGATCGTACGGAACCGACGTTTCAACGTAATATGGCCGTAAACCAATCTATGAAACCTTCTGGATTTTGAGTTCTGCATCCATGCTTATTTTTATTGATCCAAATCTTAGTGCAGTGATTCGAATCTGCGTAAAAGATGCTACCTCATAGATGATAACGCGCCAGTTCGCCATTGTCGATCTTCCCGTCAGTAGTGGAGGTTGATGTGCTCCCTGCTCCTTCTTCCTGCCCCACGCTTGTCCTACCAATTTTAAAATTCTCGGCCACTTATACACACTTCTACATGGCAGTGCATTGCGCGCCGTATTGTGCCAAAAGCCTCCGATGAATTTCAGCAGAGATACACCTTCCGGCAATAGAAATCGTATTACTGCTCTTTGATCCTCCTTGAGGAAAACTGCTAGTGGCGCGGACATGTTTACACTGTAACAGCAGCAAGAAAACTGGCGCGATGAAGCTCAAACGTCGATCATGTGACTATATGAGCAGCAGGCAGTGTGACAAAACTAGATATGTTTCACCGAAAAAGCGGATAATTTTTTTTACTTACCCTCGTATATATATATATATATATATATATATATATATATATATATATATATATGTGTGTGTGTGTGTGTGTGTGTTTGTCTAGGCAGCAATCCTTCTTTCATGCAGATTTCATTGAATACGACAGACAAGGAGCTTTGATTTAGTTTTTATACAATTTCTCATGTGATCTAATATTTTTTTTTTCTTTTCGGATGATAAACTATATAACAACTGTCCGAATGTTCTTTTTTATCCGAGCGCTTTCGTCTATACATTTAGCCATATTCAAGGTTGAAATATATTAACTGTTAACAAGAAATAGTTTCTTGCGTGTATGTATTTATATAATGTTTTCATTTTCAAACACGGTCAAGATATTGTGTCCATGTTCATAGTTGATATTGACTGAGTGTTGTTGTTTTTTTGGTTTTATTAATAAGGCTTCCATTATTATTATTATTTTTTTTTTTTTTTTTTGGGATGTAGATGATGCTATTATATTTTTTGTTGTCAACAAGTATGTTCCGAATAGAAAAATAATAATTCACCACTTAGAACAAAATTAAATAGGACAAATATTATTTACGAATTTAAATGTCCATTAGGGATTGTATACCTGATCAATCAAAATTGGTAAATAATTATATAGCCCATACAACAACATGTTTGACACGCAGACTCACACTACACCTTCCTGGCCATAGCTCAATTAGGTCTCATTTAAATACTTATGGAGACCTACCGGACCCTATTCGTAACATACATACATGCACACACACACACACACACACACACACACACACACACACACACACACACACACGGACATATATATATATATATATATATATATATATATATATATATTCACTTAGGTGCTAATAGCATTGGGAAAGGTATTAATCCTCTACATTTCTCTCCAGCTATAGGTAAATAGCAGGACAAAGTGGGTTCCTTAACCTTGGATGGCAACTGGTCTAAATGAAGGACAACTCTAAATTCAAAACCTGCAGAGGATCGGTTGAGGGACCCTGAGGCACGTAGTGCACCAGGTCTCTGCATTCATCCCTTCAAATAATGTGGTTGGTTCTGCACAAAGCCATCACCACTATCATCAAATCATATGTGCTTGTGTCTGGCTGCCGGTTCCTAGGAACTGAGATTCTTGACCCTCATCAGTCGAATACGACGGGAGAGTCCGCCATATATATAATTATAAATAGGAAACACGTAAAATATCTTTTAAGGGGTCCACCCCTTTTTCATACAAGTGGACTCGCCTAGTGTGTACTTGTACTGCTGCCGGTGAATACCCAGAAGTCGGAAGTCAGACAGTGAGAGTGTGAGGTAACCGCTTTGTAGGAGTCACAGTTGCGAGTACGTAGACTCAGAAGGAAGTCATACTTCGATACTGAATTTTCCAGACTGTATATATATTATTATTGCTACTAACCGCATTTCTGGATCTACTAACCGTATTACCAATTGTATTATTGCGTCAATACATTTATTTGCTATATTTTATTCCTGCGTTTGTCATTTATTTGAGACCGGATTTCATCCCGAAATACACAACAATATCTCAGTGTATGGCTGAATTATAATAAATTTAGTATAGGCGATAAAGAAATTGATAACGAAATTAACCCTAAAATAGCATGCGCTAAGGATCGTTTTGTCCCCAATATGCTACAAAACCAAATCATTAATCTTAAATTTTCTTCTTAATGTAGTGTCGTCACATCTTGCCTTTCATATGTATGCCATGCATACCGCCCAATGCGTTCAGAAATCTCTAAACACTCGACTGTCTACAACAGATCACTGATTAAGAATACCTTAGAGTTCCTAAAGAGGTTCATTTTCATCAAAATCCGTGGACTGTCGCTAGAGAATCAAAAAGTAATGTACAAAAACAAACAAACAAAAAAAACAGAAGCCACATCACTTGTGCACATTCAGCAGCAACAACAAATAAAATGGATTGCACAGATAATTCGAAGTGAAAATAAATGTAAAAAAACAAAACAAAAACAAAACAAAAAATTGACTTTCCCATTTATTTCAAGCCAAAAATGAGGAATAAATCTCCCTTCAATAATTGAAAATGCAATAACAATGAACTTGAGAAACCGATTTTCTTGAAATAATATTTTAAGAGAAATATGTCATGAATTTCAAACGGCAGTAATGTTGAGTGGTCGGCCAAGGACAACAGAATCTTTCCTCTATGGAAACGGTTATTCTCGCTATTACCATTAATATATATATATATATGAAACCTGTCCGGAAAGTGTTCAG